ATGACGCTATGCTCACCTTCCTGGTCTTTTGCATTAACGTGTCAACAAATAGCTAAATAATATATAACATGTCACAACAGTGACAATATATTATTCATCTTCAATTTTGTATTGCTGATAATATGAATATTATAATCTCTATAACTTTGACTTTGAGATTTTGAGAATTCTTTTTAGCAGTTCAGATTATTACATTTAAAAAAACATACTTTGAATTGTCGTTAAAATATTGAAAGTTTTCTTTGAATATTTCTTTAAATTTTATAAATATTTTTGAGTATTTCAAAAGTCAATCAAAATGATAATATTGTTACTAGATGTTAGTTGAATATCTATGTTACAATAATATTCACTAAGAGTCTGATTGTAACAATATTGTAACAATTATTACACCAACTTTATTACCTATCTTTAGTGAACTTAGTATTCTCTTTCACTTTAACTTTATTTAATATGTAAACTTTTTTACCTGACTTAATATCACATATTAATTATAAGTTTTTTCATGATAAAACTATAATCCATATAAAACAGTAATAATACTAATAGAAAGTTAATAAATTATTTACTAGTTATTTAATATATTGGATCATAATAATCAAGTTGTAATTTTATCAATCTAATTGTGACAACTTCAATATTAACCAATCACATATCGATATCCAGAATCTTAACCCTATACTCAGGTCCTAATTAGCCAATTAAAATGAGGTTGTTATGTAGATTAAAAGCAAACGCGTCTTTCATTCGTAAAAAGTCCATTTTTTGTTCATTTTTCTCAGAACATGGAAGCAGAACTTCGTTGTAACATTGTTCAATGTCGCAAGGTACTCAGCACGGAAGGACGTGCGTGTGTGACCACTTGTTCACGTAAAGTATCCTTATGCTTCTATAATAAGATTTTTAGCTTACATACACGAGGCCTGACTTTTTGAAATTTCTACTATCCTTCAGATATATTTTGTGGTATGTTCTCCCAATTTCCTTTATATGTTGCGGAAACCTTTTAGCTTCTAACTAAATTGCTTTTCTTCAGTTGATTGCGCGAATAAAGCTTTCTCTTCAGCCTTAGTTTGTCCAGCTTGTGATACTAGTCTAACTGAAAAGTACCGGCTCTATCTTTGTAATTTGTGTCTTTCATTTTATACACGGTAAACACTCATTACGCAACATGTCTTTAGCGATGATATTGTATTTGCGGACTTGAATCCGAGCGAAGATTATAAATCTGTAAGAAGGTTATCCACGTTTCTCGTTGAACATGACACCCATTTTTCTATATGAATTTCTTTTGACATTTTGATAAGTCGGTTCTTTCAGGTCTTCGTCCTGACTTCATCATGGAAATTTGTACACGGGCACTTTCGTTTTGGACATATCAAACCACTCAAGAAGCGTGTTTTCAAGAAATGTTATATAAGAATCTAGAAGACAAGTATAACGGGATAGAGAAAAATTTACAAGCAGTGATGAGAGATGCGCACTCTGAAATAAATTGTAATTACTTTTCATAGCCAACGATTATTATTTATCACTATTCACCACTTATTAACCGGTATATCTTCTTCTTCAGCATTACGTGAAAAGGTTTCAGGTATTTGTTATGCAAATTTCAATACTATGACTTTTCATTATCCCATCCAAGATGTTGATTAAATCTTTAATTAATTCAGCATTACAGAAAGAAATAGAACTCGAAAAGCGTAAAAGTCACGACCTTTCTGAGCAATTACAAGAGAAAGGACGACAATTTTCAAAGTTGCAGGTTTTTTCCATTCTAATTTCTTCGTCATCATTCATCATTATATTATTAGAGTGAATCATTAAAAGGTTTTGACTATAGGTGATGTATGATAAGCTCAAACGTCGAACTCTGGTTCCAGCAATGCAACAAACAGTTCAGAATGTTGCTGGTAATAATTCAATTTCTGGAATTAGTGGGACATCGATAAATAACTTGGGTGGAAACGGAAACATGGGATCAAGACAGGTTCCGATTGGAATCGTAAGTAACTCCTTGAATCCTATACTATATAAACTTTGAGGAATCTCATTTATGTATTGGCTTCGTAGCAATCCAATACTCAGAGACGGCAATTTGGAGAAAACCTTGGGAATCTTAACCATCCAACATGGCCGGGCGGTGGAAAAGGTAGAAACCAGTTTTGCATATTGATCTTCAAAACTGTTATCCCAAATTTATTTTTTTTATAATACTCAGAAAATCCCCATGACCCATTTTATGGGCCTCCACTACCACCCCAACATCATTATCATCCTAATGTTAAACGAACTCCGCAGCAAACTCTTCCTTCACAAGGTTATCGAAATTATCGCGAAGTCACGCCAAATGGTAATATGTTAGATAAATAAAATTTATGAATCATAAATCTGAGATTTATTTTAAACTTTGCTTCTAGGGCAACCTCGAAATCCATATTCTATGGGACAAAATTCAGGAATAATAATGATGCCACCAAGTACTGGAATGAGAGGATAATTATTTTAAGAATGTAACTTTTGGATTTTTAGTCTTGAAACTATTACCAAGTCATTAAAAGTGTTGAATTAAAAATACATAGACACGGCCTTTGATTAATAATACTATGATGAATACAATCACGTATTATCCAGATGTGCTCAGTAACTATAAAGATTTGCATAAGCATACTGGGTATCATTTACAATGAACTAAAAGATGTCCTTTAACGACAAATCTGTTCTCAGGATCCATCGGTGTGGTACTCGATACTTGTTTTTCATACGAGATGATCATGGTTTCAATGTGATATTAAGTTCCTCACATGCACATTTATTTATTTGGATAAGCACATTTTCTAAATTCGTTTAGATTTCCTACAATATTCGATATCTCCTTTGACGTTGATCACTCAATCTCGCCTCTATTCTATTTAGCTGCATTAACGCAAGTAGTACGGCATTGGTATTTGCAATCGCGCCTGTTTTATTGGTTTTTATAAAAATTTAGAACTAATAAAAAAGCTCACAATATGCGTTAAATATGACATACCACCAACTTCATGCACCAATTCATCATAAGTTATCTCATCATATACCACGTCCTCATTTTCCGGTAAATCTTGGCATTCTTTTTAGATTATGATCAATGAGCATAGAAAAGATATTCGAATAATCAACATGATAATTAATCAAGTTACCTCTGATCAGTTCGTTAATATCGTCCACAACTTGGTTGAGATACTATATAATTTTGTTCACGTTTTCAGTTTCTTTAAAATTCGGATTTTTAAAATGTTGAATTATTAAATCATTACCTCAACTGGAAGCTGTGATCGAAGATATCCCAACGATTCCATTTCTTCAGGCTTGATTAAAGGTATTTGTACATATCCTAATTCGTTTTTCTTACTGAAGAAACTCGGTTGTCGTGAAGTAAGTGGGGTAATATTAGGCTCATTATCAAATGCTGTCAGTGGTGTCGCAATCTTTGATGGGGTGAATGTCGTGGGTGTTTCTGCCAGACTTGATTATATTAACAAAATTGATCGATATTGAGTCTTTTGACTTTTTATCTATCCGGCTGCTAACTGGATGCGAACCTTTTTGTATCAAATGACTGAATGCTATTTTCTGTCGTCATGGGAGTCCCTTTTAATCGAAGAGAACTTATTTAGTCGTCACACAAAAAGATCAACAATTTCTATTATCATCTTTTATACCGTCATTGAGTAAAGCCAATGCGCGGTTCGAAATGCCGAAACTTTCCAAAGTTGGGCTATCTTGTTCTTCCAGGTTGAAGTTATCGAATTTTTTGTTTTTGGGAGGTGTAAGTAGCGTAATGTTTTGCCGTCTTAGTACAGCTAATTCAGTCGGACTTGCCGGATTGCTTTCTGGAAGAGCAACTGAGCACGGCGACAAGGAATCCTCGGATTCATTGATTGATCGAATAAGAGATGCTGATAGTTAAAAATTCAAAAGTAATTAAGTCAAACATGTCACATTGCTACATAAACATTGAACGCGTCGTATACTTTAACGTACATGTATTGTCATTGATATTTACAAGTTACCGACCTTCATAGCCATACGGCCTCAGCCCTTCCTCCAAGATAGCAATACTATCGTGCATCTGGATCAGTATTTGATTAATATATTCAAATAGGAAAAATTCTTAAAAATTGTGCAATTCCCCCAATTGTTCAGACCTTTTGACAAGCCTCGCCAACTGCCAATACCATATTTATCAAAGAGTATTTCATATTTGGGGTTTGCTCTAATTCATGTGTATCCCGCATAATTGATGTTGTTTCAGCTAGCAATTTCCGGAGCAGATTTTCTTGGTGACCAGAATGCACTGAGAGAGGAGGATTCTCTATGGCAGATCTAGTAAGAACATAGTAGAATGTTATTGTATTGCCTTGCATTGATGTTAGTTGTTCTAACTATTACCTAAGCCCTTGGTAATCTTTTTCAAGTTGGGTGCCAAATTGTTTGAGTTCGTTGAAAAATTCATCCATGATACCATTTAGCGAAAAATGAAGTCGCGTATTCGCGTATATAACAAATTTCTAACCAATTAGATGATATCATTATTTTGAATCATCACTAGCATTTAATTGAACATGATTTCAAGTAATAATTGTTGTATCTATTAAATATTTATTTATACTTTAGGCAAAGGATTAAAATTACAGCTTTCAAAATTACCGTTTACGACTACTATATCGTCGAATAATATGTTGCAGCACACTAATTATCAGACCTGACTTTCATCACAAGCCAAAAATAGATGATTGTATCATACTTTCCATTCTCGTTCTGATTTATTACTTCTCGATACTTAACACTTAATTTTCGTGATATTATTGTAGAAGAGAAAAAAGAGTGATGAGTCTGTTAACAAAACATAAAATGTGGATCATATATTTCTAGTAGATAGTATCAATCCATGTCCTTTCGACCCTGATTTGCATCTTCGAGTCAGTAATCAAGTCTTAGAGTTTAGGCAGTGTTGGCAAATTTGCTGTTTTTTCAAATGATTGTCATTCGTCACTTGAAATTTATAATAAAATAGATGTCATCTGCCACGCTGGGTTTAGACGCCACTGGTGGTTGTTTGAAAGAAAAGGGGTGATACCTTGTGGTCAGACAATTAATTAATTAAATCAATTGTTTGGCTAAATCGCCACGGATATATTTTTTTTGATTTCTAAATTTATATGTCAATTATGATATTCAATAATAACTCATTTTGCTGTGTGTAAATATGTAGTATCGAATTATATTATATCTAAATTTATATATACAAAGGTTTGCATTTTGTAATAAGCAAATGACAAACAAAATCTAATATTAATGTTGGTGATAATAATCAAACATTAAATTAAAAATTAAATTAGGAATTAAGTATTAATATAAAGTAAAGGGTAATGAATAAATATAAGAAAAGCTAATTAACCCAACCAATTCTCTGACATTCCTTCGGATCTAAAGCACAAATAAATAAAAGATAAAACCAAAGTCCTGCTATTTTTATAATATCATAGCCGCTTTCACACTATCACTAGACTGTAGAGTCTTCTTCGTTTATAAAAATCCGAGACATGAATGTTTCTAATGCGTTACTCTTGTTATTCTTGTGACGTCCAGTTATCTTGGTAATGTCTACTAAACGCTCCATGTAAGGATGTTGAAACATTGTGTTACTAGGTGCATTTATGTGATGTAAACAATTGCGAAAAGCCTGGACTGCTGTCATTCGTACTAATGAGCCCAATACATTCCGTGATATGACCATTCCATTTAGTAACGGTCCAAATAATGGAATCTTTTGGTCACGTGATAGATTAACAGCAAACATTCCATTAGACAAAGGAGTGATCACTATCTGCACATTTCCAAAGTCACCGCCAATCGTATTATGTCGGTAATCGCGATAATGTTCATTCCAGACGATGTGAACGTGGTCATTTCCAATATGACGTTTCTTTTTTAGTTGTTTTGGATCGGTTGGGTCCGTAGGCATTTTTATCACGTTATGGTAAATTATTTCTAATGTCGAAGAACAATAATAGGTAGCCGTGGCGCCATTGGTTGAATTTCTTTCTAAACCACCCAGATAACCTGGATGAGTCGCCAGATCAATTTCCCATCCAAGACTAGCAACGAATTCTTCATACATTGGACTACCGTTGGTGTTGTGTAATATACTTTGCTCGTCTTCCTGACCTGGCCCGACATAAATAAGGGCAATCTTCACCACTTCACGTGCATGCTTCTTGTCGAGAAGACGAATGTCACGGAAAAACGCTGGGGTTTTGTTTAATAAGTGTATAGGATTTTCTTTCAATGTTTCAAGACCAAGCAGTCCAAAATGACTCAAGAACAGTCGACATTGTTGATACGGTTCATTAGGCTTTTCAGCTCCGGGAGGCAAAACCGGAAGGAATGATCGAGATAATGAGAAATCGGCGCCAAGGGAAAGATGAGAAGTTGACCGCGAATAAATTGGTGTTTTCGAAAATTTAATGGCAAGTTTATTGGTTTCGCATACGTGAAAAATATCATTCCGTATTGATATTACAGAATCATACCAGGATTTCCTTTTTTATGAAAAGTATTATTAAGTAAAGTAAAAAAAAATAATCGAATGTTACAAATAACAAAACTCACGCATGAGGATCCATGGCAGTGCGATAACGAGCTTCTTCTTTGATATGTCTATCCAATTGATTTTCAATCCGCGAGAGCGCAGGATCAGTATCGCAAGCCGACTCATTAAGATTACTTAATTGATTGATACCGGGAAATTCCTCGCAGTCTGGATGATTTTCTCCGATGCTTGGAATAAAAAGAAGATTAATAATGCTGATGTAGACCAAATTCATGCAAAACCATTTCCGACAATACATACTATCCAAGAAGTTTCTTTAGCATATTGTCTTCGGAATTATTGTTATTCTCTGTCCACGTCGGGATATTATTATCTGAGGTAGAATCGAGATTCTCACTTTGTGATGAACTATGCTGCTTGGAGGTCGTTTTCTCTCTATACGCAAGAAAGATATAGAATGGATTTAGTTATTGAGATTTTTGATATCTATTTGAAACCAACGAAAAGATACTTACTTATCTGTCTTATTTGTTTCCATTAATTTTTCTATTTTAATGTTTTGTCTGAAGGAAAAGTGATCTGCCACGCCAACATATCGCAGTCCACCAGCATGAACATTGGACGAATCATCCAGAGAAGCTTTATAAAAGAGCTTCAAGTCCCATGCATAACGACCTGTAGCGTCTCGTACCATCAAACGTGCAACTAGAATTATCATGTAACAATGATAAGTTTATTATACAAAACGAATTAACCCGAGCATTTAGAATTGTTATAGGAAGAATCTAATTTACTTGATGTTACATCACCCGGTATCTCAATAAGTGTGATTATATTGGTATTGTTAAGGGAGAAAAAATGATAGTTTTCTTGATTTTCTTCCTCTCTTGTGTCACCCATCGGACCAACCAAATTACTAGATAAAGAAAGATGTTATTAGCGATTGATTTCAATCGAGCTTGAATTATTAAGGAAATACCTATTTATCATTGCGGGTCCATGAAGAGGTGCGAAATTATCAAGATGACGGGTTAAATGCAGCAAAACACATTCAGCAACATCCTACAATGCAAAAGTATCTTCTTTTAATAATTTTAAAGATCCTGAATATTCTTTCGTCAATAAAGTTTACCTTTACGAGTTCCGGATCTTCAATACCCTCGGCACCAACAACATGAACACCATGTTCATTATTCAGGCTACCGGACAAAGATATCTTGCGCTCAGCCTTTTTGAATCGTACCGTAGCGTCGTGACTATGACATTTGCCTCGGCTCTTGTTTGGTGGTATTGGGAGCAATTTTTCATGGTATCTTGGCGAATCATTCTGCTCGAAATAATGCTACGCATTGTTATAATGATGAATTGACCTTACTAAATTAAAAAAAATTTGCGTATTAATTTACCCCGGTAACTTCAAAAGCCAAATCTATTGCCTCAAATACGAGTTGATACAGTTCAGTGTCGGTAAATAGTTTAGGAGGTAATACCATTAACCATTCAAGCAGGCAATAGAATAATTTTGCAATAATAAATCCTAGCGGAGATACAGAATATTTATTTGATTAGTATATGTATATATTTATATATTTATATAATAAAAAATTCAATACAAACCTCGTCCGTTTCTTTGTGCTCCTCTTTGTAAATTCAAATGTTCATTTATGGCACCAATTAAGTTGCCAAAAACATCTTGAAGAACCATCAGATACATCTACGTAGCAAATAAATCATAAAAATTCGATCGAATACCAACAAGAGACATTCTAATAAAAACGATTCAATTACCCCATCATCGTCCCAAGTAAGGCCGCAGTTTTGTGCAAACACGATCAAACAATTAGCCGCGGCACACACAACTGGCAAATGACTCCAATACAATTGATCGAATATCGCGGAAAAGCATTCTTTGACGATAGTTTTAGCAGGGCTAAAAGAATTCCAAAATTAAAGTTGCAAAGAATTTCAAGATAAAACTCTGTGACAAGTTAAGAAACGAGAAGACTATCAATGGATATTTAGATCTCTACCTAGGAGTCGAGGTGACTTCGTCAAAAGCGAGTGTACAGATACCTTGTAATACCATTATATGCGTGTCTGGATTATGTATATTTTCTTCCGTTGCAAGTGTTTGAACGAGAGTTTCCACAAGTATCAATCTCAACTATTGTCATAACAAATGAGGCGATTAATATGCAATGGGAAATACCATCCTTTGGTGAGATAATTAATTTATCTTCTCATTATTTCTTACCTCTGAACAAGAAATACTATCTGTAAGATCGAATGATGAATTATTCAAATCGATCACTTTTAATTTAGTCAATTTATAATATGGTATTATCGGAACTTTAAGATCCGGGTTTTGATTCAATATACATATCAACGAACACAGAATCGTGATTGCATTTTGACGTGTCGATTCCGGTAGATGAGCTCGATCATGCTTTGTAAGTAAGTTCAGAATACTTTCGATAAATCGGTAAAAAAGAATATTGCTTCCTGGCAATGCTTGCGCAAATAGTTTCGTAGAATTATTAATGATAGCATGTGTTATCGAAGTATCAGTGTCCGATAGTCCTTTGAGCAGTGACCGATAAAAATGCGAGTAATAGATGCTTGAAACTTCTTGATCTTGCTGTCGTGACATCATCTTGCAAATTCCTCCGTAAGCGAGAGCTCGACCGGGAGCGAAAGCCCTGTATAAGAGTTGTTAATCAAAATGATCATTAAATCGGCTTTAAATTCAAATATTTCATACAAAAGGAATACACACAAAGGCATATCGCATGCTTCTAGAAACCAAGGTGCGAATTCATAAAGTAAAGGCAACGAGACGTCACTGTATGGTTGATTGTTACGGATCTACACAAAGAACGATTACATGCGTGAGATAACCTGATTTTTCATGGATCAACAAAATGTTGGGTTAGTTTTTTATTTACCAGATTGAGAGTATCCCAAAGTTGAACCAAACATTTTATCGCGTCAGCGTGATTTGGTGGAATCTAATGTCGAAATATATAGAATATAGAATACATAAATAACAAATAGTAATGAACAACAATTCGAATTTTTTAACTTGCCTCAATTTCATTTATGTTGCCCAAAGCACATAACATGTTTTTCCATATCATTAAAGAATTTTCATCATTCCAAGGTAATGTGTCCAAATTCACGAATTCAGAACTTTTAAAATTGGCCAAAGATGATGAAATTCTGTCACTGCTAAAATTTGGTTGTGCAAAGAATGCAGAAGAAGTTGATGTTCGATTTGACTAATAAGGGAATAAAACCAATTATTCATATTTTTCTAGATTGATAGTAGTGAATTTATGTTACAAATAGCAGGAAATAAATACCTTGACTCCACTATTTTCTTCAGCTGGCATTTCACTACTTGCTTCGAAAAACACATCATCATCGTCGTCGTCGTCGTCGTCTTCGGATGCAATGCTTCCGGAATGAGTGGATGAACCACTGAATCCATTCACAAAACTAAGCAAGGCTTGTCCACCTAAAAGCTTCGAATCATCCTGATGCATGCTTGCCGCTCTTCGTGTCGTTCTATGCTCTGATGCTGATTTGGCGCTACTGTAATCAGGCGAAACAATTTCTTCTCGTGACGAATTACTGCCTGATGATTTATGTCGTAAATCCTTTAGTGATAGATGCCGTGTTCGATTCTTAGATGGTTTACGGCGATGTCTTTCCGATATTGACAATTCTGAAGGACGACGATTTAAATCAACAGCCTCAAGGTCAACTTGGTAAAGATACTTTGAAAGGATTTTAGTAAGGCGATCCATGGTTCTCTGAATTAGAGAAAATACAAAAGTGAGAAAGAATGAATTGACGTGAATTGATATTTGCTTTAAAACTACTCTAAACGCATACCTTCCACTGAAGTATAGTCTGCGACCATCGAGTACTTTCTTTCATTTGATTTGACAACCCTTGCCATAGATCCGCTTGAGTTGACATGGATCGAGCAAATGCCATTAATATCGTCTATTGTTACAAAGATTTTATATAAGCATGATTCAGCAATAAATAAATCAGGAATAATGCGATAACTTACTTCAACCAAATAGTCCGCAAGTTCATGTGCAAGATGTACAGATGGTATAGGTCCGTATTTTTCACTTTGATTCATAGTCTTCCGTTGGATTTCCAATAGACATACCAATAATGATTCCCTTTAAAATATTCCAATTAAAATTCATTGTAGTAGTAGATACGAAGAAATAAAAACCTAAAAGAAATAATGATAAATAATAGTTTAAGATAAATACCATGTCTCATTCTCGAGTTCGATAGGGCCATTCCCAATAATCGCTCGATATAATGATAACACGTCACGATATATTGATACCTGAGCCTCCACTTCAGTATTAGTCATTCCGCCATCGATGTTCACAAATGAATGATCATCAAAGACTAGAGTTAATAATTTAATGTATCGTCGAAGATATACATTTGCATCCGCATAATTCGTTATATGTGAATTGACCGAGCCAGAGGAAGACAAGGGTAACGTTTTTAAAGTTTCAGTAGATGATGATGATGACATAGATACACTGGAGTTTTGATTGTAAACTGTTGTTGCTGTTGTTGAAGCTGTCTTGCGAAGAAAGACAGGCCTCTCCTCTTCCTATATATAGAGATAAAAAAATTGAAATACAAAGATAAGAGATTCAAGTAAAACAATAAATTTTATATTAACTGACCCCACTCAGAATCCAAACACCAACGATATGAACAGCTCCCCGAACAATGTCTTTAGTTGAAGTACTGCCGGCTGGTAACATCAATGCTTGTCTTATAATTTCATGAGCAATTTCTCTATTTTCAAACGCCAAAACAATAGATTTTAATATGGGTGTTGCGGGTGATGGAAATGTAGTGACAAGTTCAGTTGAACCAAAAGTGTTGTCCAGACAATAATCAATGAAAAATTGTATAAAAGCACGTAAAATTGCAGGAGGACAAGATGAAAACCCTGATTCTAAAGACAAACAAACAAACATTTTAATAACTATTTAAATGTGTCGATTAAAATATTTTCACTGACCATGTTTGGCATCGGTTGATATTCCAAGTTTTTTTGAGCAAGCGGGAAAAAGTTTCACTAAATAATATTTTTTTAAAAGCTCGTAATTAAATTTTGCAGCTGCCAGGGCTGCGTCAATTCCTATTCCGATGGCAATTCCATTGTCAGGTTCAATATTATCCGTCACAGCCGAATCATAGTTTTCAGATGGTGGATCTGAACCAGCCGCCACGTGAGCTAATCGTGCAATATTAGTTAACGCAATCTTAAGTAACGACACAGAGTCATTAAATGTGGGAGGATACGGATTAGAAAACAATGGCCCTCTATCATCAGCTAAAAATCAAGAAAATTTCACGCGTTTTTTTAACATCAGGAATGTATTTTTTTTGACTTGACATAGATTGATATATAAAACTTACCTCGAATAAATTCTTGACCCAGTTCAAAGAGTCCACTATTTGTTCTATAATCCGCATTCTCTACACTAGCAAACTGATCATATACAAATAAATCGAGTGAAATGGAATTGGCATATAAATTTATGCATTCTGAAAATTCGGTTGTTTGATCATTCATCCAAAGTAATAATAAATGAAATCCTTGGCTTCGAACACGGGGGTGGTTTCCATGATCAAGAAGATGATTAATAATGTGTGCTGCATGAATAGAAATGTAGGTATTAATTAAGTTGGACATAAAAAATGTTATTCGTACAGTTCTGCAAACTGCACACAAAGAATTTACCTATATACATCCTTTGCCATCCATTTTTTATTAAATCTGGCAAGAAAAGAAATATTTTTCGTAATAATACAAGACTTTTATTTATATTTATGAATTCTTTAGCGGAGAATGACATGGGTCTATCGGATTTGTCTAATTAAAAAATAATTAAATATTAACATGGACTCTGTAACAAGTTCTGATAAAAAAATTAATCAATTGTCACCTTTTATTTTATCAACTTGATTCATAAAGGCTTTGTAAGTTACGTCGAATACTTCTTCAGCGTTTTCGTGAAAAAATTGGGCTTGATCTAAATCATTGGCTGCGTCTATATTGATTTCATATTTATATTATCACGCGATAATAAAGTAGTGAAATATATTAATTGGATAGATTATATTGATAAACAAATTCTTAATTTCAATTCTATTCCATCAATTATATCATGTATGATTTGATTTATCACATACTAATAAAATTCCAAAGTGAGGCGGCTCGAGCTTTTGGTTTTGATCTTTGATCAAAAAATACTTTTGTTTTCTTTAATAGTTTTTCCATTCTTTCATCTTTAGTAGTATTAGTTTTATTGCTGAATTCTTTGTTATTATTGTTGTTGTTATTATTATTATTACTAATATTATTAATGGCTATGATATGCGGCGGCGGAGTACCAATATGAAAGTTGAATTTCCGGTTATTGTTGGTATTATTATTACTACTATTTTCTATTGAAGGCTCTTCCTCGGTTGTACTTAAAGTAGGTGGTGGATAATGACCACTTGGTGGCCTCTGCGGATTTCTACGCTTTCCTATAGCTGGAGAAGTTTGTTGTGGGCTAGAGTATGAATTTGAGCTGGTTTCAACTGGACTAGGAGGTGCAACAGGACGTTGAGTAAGACTTGAATCCACTTTTGCCAGTTTAAAATCAGATAGTATGCTTTTCGTCGAAGAATTTCCCGAGGATACAGAAGCACGTCTGGCAAATATTTGAAATTTTTTACCAGAAGACGAAGAGGTAGCATTGGTGGTCGTATTGTTTGTAGAAATGGAGGATAAAGCAGCAGCCGAAGGAGAAATTGGCAAGGGGGGTTCATCTGTAGTAAGTGTTCCCTTTCTTGGTCTCGATTTTGATACTTTGCGCCGTATTGCTGCAGCGGTCGACTCTTTTGCTGTTTCGTTTGCTTCCATATATAAATTCGCGAGTTAAGGTTGTTTGTTGATAATAAATTTTACATGACTAGTCTTTTATATTGGGAAATGACGATCCATACTGATCTCACAAATGCTGGTATCGAGGAAAATTATGGCCGTTTACTATTATTGATTTGGTCACTTCAATGGAGAATAACACCATTAATAAATAAAAAAATTGAAAGAAAATTGGAAATTTGAACCTCCTCTTGTAAATCAAGAACCAGTTATTAGTAAAATAAATAAAATGTTTTTTGAAAAAATTAACTTATAATTTTAGGTTCTCAAAAAAAGTTTTAATGTGCACAATAGAGAACAAAGTTTATACATATCAAAAATTATTAACATGAAAGTTGAATTTTCGTCAATATTGTTATTATTTTACTTGGTTTTATAACTTTCAAGTATATTATATGTCTTTTACATGATTTCAGATCTTTTACATAATTTTAGTTAATTGGATGAAATATTATAATAACTAAATATTTTATGACTAGAGTATTAAAGGTAGGTAATATATGTTTAATTATAACTTCAATGATAATTTATAAATAAAATATTAATAATTTCTTTTATTAAATAATAAGAGCTGTAACAGATATTATATAATGTTTTATATTTTATATTTATATAATATATAAAATTATATGCTTTAAATATTTTACTTGGTAGAAGACTATAATAAATATATATTATATAATATATATTATAGTCCTAATGACAAAAAATCAAATAATAACAAGAAATTATAAACAAAATAATATAACTTTGTAATAAATAATAAATAATAATTATTAATAAAAATAATAATTATTAATAAAATTAATTAATATTTGAATTAATATTCAAATTAATATAGTATTAGTATTATAAATAAAGAAAATGTGATTATAGAGTTTTTTATTGTGTTTATATATAAATAAAAAAGTAAAATAGAGTAATCATAAAGGAATATAATTATAAATAGATGTGATTATAGAGAGATTTATGTAACTATATATAAATACAAATAATAAAATAAATATTTGTTATATCAAAATCTTTAATCTCAATTATATAAATAAATAATACTATTAAATAATAATTTTATTTTATATAATAAATATTTATTTATAAAAAATAATCAAACTAAAAAATATAATGAATCTAACTAGTAATTTCTAATAGTATTTTTAACTAATATTATTGATCAAGTATATTTTACAATTAATATAATAAATTAAATATTAAATAATATTATTGTTATCATTTTGATGGGACTTTCGAAATACTCAAAGGTATTTATAAAATTTAAGGAATATTTAAAGGAAAACTTCCAAATGTCTTAACGACAATTCAAAGTCTAATAATACTTTATGGCTTTAGACTGAATATAAATTAAAGTACGATAAGTACTTATAGAATCACTTAAAGGTTGGTAACAGTTGTGTTCTTTTAACGCAATAACTGGACTGCTAAAAAGAGTCCCAAAATCTCAATGTCAAATATAATGTACGTATTA